CATAACCGTTACCGTTTGTATGTACTCTATTGTAGCCGCAGTACAGTAGATTCTCGAATAAAGGTGTTCGAATCGAGCTACAAATGGTATTTCTTTCGTTTCAACAAAAGATTAAATCGACTTTTATTTATTAAAACATGTTACAAAAATTTGTTTCATAACGTTACAGTGGGATAATTGAAACATTTTTCCCAAAAACGAAAAAATCTCTAAATGACATTTTTTTTCATACAATTAGTTTATCGAGCCTCGGAGTTTTGAAATCTAATTTCAGGACACCCTGTATATTACCATTCATTCAGCACGCCAAACCAATGCCAAGAGTTTCAATAAATTCAGTAATTTCTTAAACAAATCTTCATGGTGGATTCGTTCAAACGACGTTTGAATACGATCACGTTCTAATTCAGGACATCCTGTATACGTCATCCGATGTTTCTATCGATAATTCGCCAGTGACTCACGCCGAGGCGAGAGTGCCTCGAGTTCGATCTCGAAATAATGAGCTACCAATTAGCCGGAAATAAAAAGTTCGTCCTTCCGATCGAGGTTCGTACCGGGAAGTTAGGTAACAAGGTACAAGCCAGACCCCTGGTCTCGTGCTCAGTGCTCCTTCCTTTCTCGTCCTAGTCTCGTTTCAATATTTGCCCCGACATGCGAAATCTGTTATTCCGTCAGGAAATAAAGTCAACGACGACCCACGCTTGGATTATCGCCAAACTCACTTTCGAAGACATCGTAAAATAATTACGTTTGTTCTTTTCTCTTTTTCGTTTCCTTCTTTTCAAACGAGTTCGAACATTTTTATTCCAGTTCGAACGACTTTTATTTTGCAAAATCTCTCGAGTGAAAAAATAAGTTCTCTTGCTAAAGGTTACTTTTGTTGCGTACACGTATGTGAGTGGGATGAAATTTTGGAAAATTTTGCGCGTTTAAAATTTTTATACTCTTTATCGTTATTATTTTATATTACTATTACATTACTATTAGAATTATAATGTTATTATTAGTAAAGATTAATATCGTTACATTATTGTTATTATTCGTTTCGTGAACATACGAATAATTTGTTCAAAAATAATCCTCGACTACAGAAAATTGGCCGTGTTCCTTATGTTCTTCGACAGAAATACTTCCTTCATCGTCCAAGTCATCTTCAAACGTTATAAAATCTTCCGTTCGATCCGGACATTACGTCTCGTGCATTGTAATCTTTTAATAGCCGAGTAACGGCAATAAAAGGAAGGGACCAACGTCGTAAAAAGAACTCTCGAGGCCAAGAGAATGACAACCAACTTTCTAAAGATCTTATTAGGGTAGAAACTCGGTGTACGTGAGGTCGCATCGACAAAATTCAACAGATCGATTTTTTACCGAACGACCACCCTATTTTTTTGGAGGGGAGGCACTGCTGAGTAAGTTAGGAGTGTAACATCCTTACACAAGCACTTCTAAGATTACACGAGCTTCAAATTCGAGGGAACGAGGTGACCTCTCGCTGATAAGATGAAAACTACTTACTCTCGTTCGTCCCTCTCCGACCAGAGACTATCTTTCCACGGAGGGAGTAAGTATAAGTATAAACTCCAAAGTTCTACTCAAAGAATCTCTCGGCACAATCGCAAGAAAGATTTCTCAATTTCGAAAGACCAATTGTTTTTGAAAGGAGGGATTTTCGTCCCCCAAGAGTCTTATTTTAACAACGCAATTAATTTGCCGATCTGATACTCGGCTCTTTTATCAATGCCATTTCGCATGCTTCGCTTCTAATTTCAAATTACACGATCTTCTCTGCGAAGACAGAGAAAACTTGAAATTTATTATTAAATAATTTATATATATATATATATATATATATATATATTTATTAAATTATTTATATTTATATAAATGTAATTAGTGTATATTCATACAAACGTTGGGCAAAATCCGTCAAACGAGAGAAAATTCCGAGGTAATCGCATCTCAATGCACGTTTCGACGTTGATTGAAGTTCCTTGTTTCCATTTCTGCGCCTCTTTCGGTCGATCGCCTCTTACGCGCAGTGGTGTTCACGCGTGTGTACGTGTTTTGATTAAAGGGAGAAGCCCACAAGAGACTCTCGTTAATCCCTTCTTATCGTACGGGAGAGGCTTTGATACAGGACTGCGAGAACCAGCTTGGATAGCAGCAATTTACTCGCAATGATTAGAACCACCAGCGTGCGCGCGGCCACTCGAGAACTCACGTAAACGCGCAAAGTATAAAACAAGGTGCGCCATATGAAAGCACACGTGCGGTTCTTCCCTTCTTTCTTTTTTTTTTTTTTTTTTTTTTGTAATGCCAAGTAGAACTTCACGGGTCTCACGCATGTACGTGTGGCTAATTTTGAAAGTTTAAATTGCATTGGGAGTTGGTGGTGTACAGTAGCTCGTAAAGGTGCTCGAAGGCACTTGTAGAATCCTTTGACGTTTGCTGATGTTTGCGAAACATGGCCACCGTAACGAGACATTGCTGTGCATAATGCGTTTTGAAAATTTGAATGTAGAATTGTTGAATTGTAGAATTGCAAGAAACGTTCTTTTAATCTTCGAACGTACGCTGCGATTCTTCTGCAAACTGATTTTTGTTTCGCTCGCGCGAATCATAGAGATCGCAACGAATATATTGGGACAAAAGTTGAAATAAAAGTTCCCAGCAAATAAATGGAGAAGCTCTTTAAAAGGAGATTCTTCTTTGATCAATTTTTCTGTCAACGAGGCATTTATCTACCTACATTTGCAAAGCCTGAGAGATATTATTATTGCGATACATTGTTTCGTGCTTTCTCATGGAAAGTAGCAAGAACAAGCACCGACATCTATTTTATTTCGTTTCTCTTCGAAGCTTACGTATTCGCGGGATTCTGAATGGAGATTTCTGGAGAGCAGTGGATTTTAGAACTGCGCCATCTTCAGAAAAACAGAAGGAAGAAGTAAAATACTTTTTAGGTCACGACTCTTTAAAAACTCGTTCAGTACATGAGACGCCAAGAGAAATTAAACAAGAGGAAACACGTCCAGAAGGAAGATTCCGAAAATTGTAAAACGACCGTCTACGTTCGGCGCGCGAATTTATTTTTATATCTCTCAAAGTTCATTCTGCGTCGCCACGCTAAACTATTATTTAAAAAATCCACTTCTGTTTGAAAAAAAAGAAAAGAAAAAAATCATCGCTGTGAACTAATCTTGGCAACAAAATACTCGAACCGTACCACGTTAGTACAGCGCAAAACTAAATATAAAGATAGAAATATAAAATATTATTTTCTATGACGACGAGGTTTAAATTTAATTATTTATTTGCCAATCGTGAACGTAAAATTGTGAAATTATGAAAGGAAAATCCCATGCCTGTCTATTTAATAATGTCATTGACACACTAATTTGGCGAACATTTTTGTTAACGAATAGAACAGGTTACCTTGCAATAAAATATTCACAGAGAAAACTTCAAAAATTTTGAAAAGAAATTCAAATGCCACGAGGCATTTCGAGTTCTGCCCATTCTTCATCGAGAAAGATTTCGTTCGATTTCCGCGCGTTGCAAATATCGCCGAGGATGTTTAAACGAAAGGCGATTTATAGCAGAGAGAAGCGACACTCGCCAATTGTTCCCCTGCCAACATCAAATCCTGTACCGTCTAGCAACAAGTTGATGTTTCCGTCTGCATGCGGAACGTTCGTACGCCGGCCGTCAAGATCAAACCGATAGTTACGCGACAAGAACTGCTAAACACTTTCAAGCTAATGCCAACAGTTTCAACAGAAATGCGAGCAGCTTCGAGCCAGATCCGACTGCGAAACGCAGTGCTTTGAATACAAAACCGGGCTGGATCGTTACGTTATAATATCCATTTCACGCTCCAACGCTTTGCCCCGCTTGCGAATGCTTCTGCAATCGATAGACCAGGCATAAGCTGCGAGCGACAAAAATCCAAGGCTTTCTGCATGCGCGTACTCGCGCCTAGAATGAACATAATACACTGGTCCCTCCACTTTGCGGTAAATTGTAAGTAAAACGAATACAAATTTCAACCTACGTGGTTTAAAATAAATATAAATATAGTTTATTAATTTAGGAATTAAAGAATATTGAAAAAGTCCGAATACGGCGATAACAAAAGATATTAAGTTCTCACGTTATCAACTTACTACTCGCTATAATTCTTTCAAGATCTATACACCCCCACGATTCGCTACTCTCTATCTGGAAACTTACTTTCAATCTTTGTTCTCGCATACGCGCACATATACTTTATATTTTAAGTCAGAGGTGGTTAACTGGCGGCCCTTGCCCCCACTTTCCTAAGCGCCGCCCCCTCCACTGCATCGATCTCTGCACTTGATTGGTAGAGAAATGAACAGATTGAGGGAGTGGGGCTCACGCACGGAAATTTCAGTGCAGTAGGAGGGAGAGGGGTAGCGCTAGCGATTAAAAAAGTAGGGACAAGGGCCGCCAGTTAGCCACCTCTATTTTAAGTCTTAAAACTTGCGCGTTTGAAACAAACTTTCTCAGACCTAGCTCCCGTTGTGACAATCACGCGTAAGCGACAATTACTTTGCTCTTACAATTAGACACAGGAAGATGTTCCGAGCAATTCTCAATGTTTCCTTATCCCACAAAATTACAACACTATTTACGCGATGTTAATTTACGCGGCCAGGACATACATTAATCCAAACTTAGATAGTCTTAGAATTTCAACAAGACTTGAAGAAATGTTGCAACGAATATCGGCAAATTTATGAGAGTTCAGCAAAAGACAAGTCCGAACAAAATTAACATTAACAATAAAAGTGATTTGTGCCAATTAAAAAGAAAAGGTCGACAGTGGCGACAGTGACACTTTTTAGGAAAATTAAAATTTACTTTTGTTTTTTTGAAATGTCATTATTATTATTATTATTATTTTGTTAACCTATGTGAAATAAATATTTGTTTCCATAACTTGTACTAGCTTTCTTTTCAATTATTTTGTTTTTCTTTCGTACTGATAGATTCTATTTACACGATTTTCATTACGAAAACCGATGGATACTCCACGTAAATTGAGAAATGGAGGTAATTGTCTCCTCCGTTCCAAAGTCTTTTGGGATCACTGCTCTCGGTAAAAGGGTACACAAAAGTTTCAACTTCTGTTCGATTCTTCGGCCTCTGGACTTCTGTGGACGTCACTTAACGCTGTAGGACGAACTGTAAATTAAAATTGAAGAGTCAAGCATTTTCCAAGAGTGTCTCGTTGTACAACTGCAATTACAATTTCCCTGGCAAGGCTAATATTTTAAATACGTTAATCTCCGCGGTAATTAGTAACGTACATAAACGTCTGTGAAGTTGGTCCCGCGCCGAGTCGAAACTGCAACGGAAGTTTCTCTCGCTTCGGCAGGAATATTCCAGCAAATATAGCAAAGCCGCAGAATTTATGTCACGCTGCGCCGCTAATGCCAGTTTCCCCTGACAAATTTTCCACGTGTTAGAGCGCGGATCACGTGAAATTGCGCTACGTGCAAAAATGTCAAACACGACGCCCAGGATTTTCAACGATTCGTCAAACTTTCAATCGAAAGACGCTCGAATCCCATCGACGAGACACAAGTCGCCGTGGTTTATGCAAAATTATCTTCAAAAAGAAAAGAAAGAAAAAAAAAGAAAACACAGGAGAAAGCAACATTTTGCGACGCGATTTTCCATAAATGGCGAGAGTCTGATATAACGTAACGGATGGCCAAAGTACATAAACGCGCGATCGCGTTGTCAAAACAGCGGCTCTGTTATCGTATCGGGGATATCATCAATTATGTAATAAGCTTTTCACAGCTTACACGCATCCGGCGTCAAGTCAGCGACGCGGATGTAAATAACGTAGTTTCAAGCTCGAAAGTTCTATTCCCTTTTTAACGCGCGCGCGCGTATGCATGCACACGCACGCACACACACGTATGCTATCAATCCTAGCACTACCAATCCAATGTAATCCTTCCTTTGGGTGACACAGCCGCCACTGAAATGCGATTTTCACCGTCTCTCAGACACTCTTAACGCGAATATGCCGCGATCAAAAGAGTTTCATATTGCTTTTGAGGATCGGCCGTGAGCTCTGGCTCCTCCGAGTACTCGTGAATATTGAATAGACAGTCGCGATTAATAAACCGTACTGTGACGAATGTATATACATAATTGTACAATTTATACACTTCCTCTTTTACTTCCGAGTCATGTCATTTTCAGTCTTCAGGTAGCATTCTCGTTTCTTCTAATTTTTCAGATCCTGGTATATACATAATTATACAATTTATACAATTTTCGGTCATTTTCAGTCTTCAGGTAGCATTCTCGTTTCTTCTAATTTTTCAGATCCTGGTATATACATAATTATACAATTTATACAATTTTCGGTCATTTTCAGTCTTCAGGTAGCATTCTCGTTTCTTCTAATTTTTCAGATCCTGGTATATACATAATTATACAATTTATACAATTTTCGGTCATTTTCAGTCTTCAGGTAGCATTCTCGTTTCTTCTAATTTTTCAGGTCTTGGTATATACATAATTATACAATTTATACAATTATACACTTCCTTCCTTATTTCCGAGTGTTATTTTCAGTCTTCAGGTAGCATTCTTCTAATTTTTCAGGTCCTGGAAAATCCTAGGTCTTAGAACGATCTTTTGTATCTATTTTTTTTTTTAACTAAGTACTTATGTGGTATTCATATTTTGTGGTATAGCTTTAAGTCAGCTGAAAGTCAGGATAATGTAAGAATTCTGTGGAGTTTTCGCATAAGATGTGTTGGATTCTGAGAGATTTTTGGCATCTGCTGCAGAAGAAAGGGTCCATGTTTTTGATAAGATGTTCATGAGTTATTTTGATATATCCTGTTCTTAATTGGGCTAGTATCTGTTTTATGTTTTTCCTTTAGTATGAATTTTATTTTACTATCTTGACTTTCTTTATAGTACGTTCTTTAACCTCTTGCGCTGAAATGACGTGCCACGCACGTTCAGAATTTTTTTATACCAAATTGCAACAATTTCTCTTTTTTTTAAGTATATTTAAATGTAACCCGGGCAAAACAAACGATCAGTTTATTGCTTCTTAATAATTTCTATCCGATAATATCATACCGACAAGTTCAAAAGAAGAAGAAAGCGACAAATTATTGTATACGACTCGGTCACTCGTTATGGTCCGCGCAACCAGTTGCCAGCGCAAGTGCTTAATCTGCCGAGTTCTCGCTACTTTTCACGCGCGTTTACACCTCAATTCACGGCCCGCGCTGCTGTTTCATCTAGAAAAATTCGCCACGAAAGATTCCATTACTCCCCGGTTTTAAATTCCAGCGGAGGTTTTTATAATGGAAAGGCCCACGTCGTTACGCGTTTCACGTTTCGAACGTAACCAACGCGCTCGGTTTCATAAGTTTCCAATTCCCAACAAATTCGCACTCACTTCTCAATTATCGGAGCTAGTACACGGGATTACGTACCACGTACAAATATCCGAAATTTGAATACGAATTTCCAACAATTATCCCGCACACTTTCCAATTATCAAGCAGTGGAATTTTAGTTCTCTCGCTGCGAGAGACCTATTCCTGATGATTCGATTACGAAATCTCAGCTTCCCCCTGCCACCCCTCTCGCAGAAAGACTTTAATAAAATCTTTATCCGTCTTCTCTCAACGATTAAGTGTCAAAGGTAAGAAGCGGGGACCAAAACAAATCTCATTGTCCTTTTCAATTCCACCGCAGCCCAGTTTCACAGTGAAATTTTGACGAGAAAGAAGACAGTCTGTACTAATTATCTCTCAGCCCTCTGAAAGCTTCCCGGAAGAAGCTTTTCGCTGCGGCGATCGTTTGCCGCAGAGGGGCGAGAGACGAGAGAGATAGAGAGAACTACCGAGAAAGGAAGATTGTATCAACGAAGTGACTCGCCGCGAAGCTTCTCGCTGATTTTCACGAGACTCTACTCCTCTGGCTCGAGGGCTAATCCCTTTGACTGAGATCCCGTCACCGAGAACCAACGCCTACCCGTAATCCGTAATCCGTAGCGACCGGACGAGGCTACCACGGCGACGTTTGACCGAAAATTATCCTGCGACTTTCCCGCGCGATCAACTCTTCCGGTTCTGCCTCGGCGACCATCGTTCTCGCCTGGTTGCTCGCCATCCCTAAACCTCTAGCGCTGGACTGACGCACGTCGAGAATTTTCTGTCCCAAATTGCAGCATTCTCTCAGTTTTCAAGAATTTTAATATCTCAATGTAACCCAGACAACAACAAAACAAATGATAAGTTTATCACTTCTTAAACCTCCGCCCACTGTGCCGGAATTACAGTTTCGACCTATGATGGGAGCTGTTTGTGTTAGTGATCGCATCATGCGGCTATGTGCCATGTGTCTCCCCAAATTGCCGAAGTGACGACGACTAAAGACGAAAAAAATCAGTTTCTGGTAACGTTCTGAGAAAGAAAGATGTGCGGCAAATCGAAACAATTTTTTATTTTTAAAGTTTATTTTATATTTTAGTGTTTTTATTATTTAGTATTTTAGTATTTAGTATTTAGTATTTAATAGTATTTTTTAGTGTTTAATAGTAGTTTTAGTATTTAATAGTATTTTTATTTAATAGTATTTTTAGTATTTTTATTTAGTATTTAATAATATTTTTAGTATTTTAATATTTAATAGTTTGTATTATTTTTTCTAGTATTTAGTATTTTATACTATTTTTGTATTTAGTATTTAGTATTTGATATTATTTTTGTGTTTACTATATAGATTTTAGTTTTTAGCACCATTTTAATATTTTACTATTTTTGTTATTAATTTACTGTTTTTATTATTGTTCTTTTTATCACTTTCTCCGTTGTTTATATTTGTCGACGCAATGTCTTCATTGCCAACGAGCAACCTTTCTTTGTCTTCTTTTGCTCAATCTGCACAAGACGTTCCTGACAGTGAATGACATAAATGTATAGTAAATATATATAACTTTATTATTCATGTGACTATTATTTGTTCCGTATACTCCTACATGTTCTTATAAGAGTCGGGTATCTGTCACTGTGTTGGTACAATATCGGTGAGGACTCGTCACTCTGTACAGTATCGGTGAGCCGTCCGGGCAACCCTAAATATGCATTAGTGTGATATCCGTCAAAATGACCCCGGCACAGGACGCTGAGGTTCAGTAGTCGGAGGGTTAATAATTTTTCTATCCAATGATGTCGTATCGACGAGTTCAAAAGAAAAAGAAAGCGACAAATTGTTGTATACGGTTCGGTCACTCGTTATGGTCCGCGCAACCAGTTGCCAGCGTAAAAATGGTCATCAACACTTCTCGCGAAAACTTGCCGCGTCGTTTGAAACTGCCTCGTTCGAGTCGTTTGAAATATTTCATTGTTCGAATAAAGAATTTTTTTTCAAAAATTTGTTACAGAAGTCATTAGAATTATTTGATAGCTTCTGTCGTATCGTGAGGCGTTTGTTTGAGGCGAACAAAGGGAACTTCAATTCAGTAAGAAGACACTGTGAAATTTGTTATCGAAGTAACGTTAGAAAGTTTGATTCGCAATTTTGGTCAAATGTTGTATAATAAAGGTCATAACATTCTGTCATAGTTGTTCCGACAAACAGCATTTATGTTTATCTTGTTTAAGTTTCAACAAAGTTTGATCGAGGTATATATTATTTATTAATATTTAGTATCATTGTATAGTATTTATTATATAATAAATTATATAAATTATATAGTAAGTATTATATAATTTATATAATAAATTGTTATTATTTGATATTATTGTAACGTAAACAGTAATACTAAAAATATTTGGAGGCAAAGTGTCTTATTTTAATTAATTTTGACAACATTGGAAAATATTATGCGACTCGTGTGATAGAGTAGATGTTCAATCATGTGCTTTTGTTACAGTAATTACCTTAAAATTAAATTTATTGCTTCGTTCTGTAATGCGTCTTAAACTTGACTCTACACACTTTTCTTGATAATTGTGATTTCTGCATTATTATAAAAATTTCGAAAGCAAACTTATTAATCATAATAACCTAACCTAATCAAAAATCGACCCGACACAGAACCTGTTAAATATTCTCCTCCGTTGAACCTTTTGGACAATGCAAAATTAAAAAAAAAAAAAAAAGAAGAAGAATCAAAAAGATCTTGTTCCAAAAAATGAGCATTCACTGCGAGGTTACCAAAGAGATTAACAATCAGTTAGCGCGAAAAACGACGTGCATTCATCATGAAGTAATAGTCCGCGCGTAGCCAAAGTTTATCGTGATTGCGTTCCGTGCTCGCGGACGGTTACTCGCCAAAGTGGAATACCGCGTGCGCTGCAGTTTCGTTTTACGCCCCTGTTTGCAGGCTGAGGAACTATCGTTTGAAATTACAGCACGAAATTACGAAACGAAAAACCGCGAATTTACATACGTGGATGGGGGGAGAATTGCGTCGTGGCTTCGTCAAATCGATTTTTCAGTCTTGATCTCTGAAACTGAATATTAAGAAGAAGAAGAAGAAGAAGAAAGAAATGAAAGAGAATTATTCGTTTATACGAGCTTCAAATTAATCACAGTTCTTTCATCTTCTTCGTCGATACGATTTTCCGCCTCGATCGAATTAGCCAAAGCACTATCGGTCAGTCGGTTGAGTTTGTTCGGTTTACTTGCTGCTTGCAAATTCGCTCTCGCGACGCTATCGAACGCCGGCAGCTGAAATGTCAGCAAGCGTTTAAAAGCCACTTTAGCCCGACCTTTATTCCTCGCCCGGGCATTCGGTTGGAATACACGGCCCGAGAAATCCCTGAAAGCATCAAAGAGCGCGTAATCCAATCCAATCCACCAATGAGAGAATGGAACGTCGAACTGTATCTAACAACCTGCACACGATCCGTGTGACCAAGTTTTCAGTGGCGTGCGACATTCAACCACTGAAACGTCGTTCGTTCAAGCGAAACCCCGTACATCGTACAGATTCGCTCTCTGACGAAATAAATCGCTAAATATTTGAAAATCGGGACGAGAAAAGGGAACGGCGGGGGGCTTCCGTTTGCCTCGATTTCGAAACAGGCAAAACGCTTTGAAACTGGAAATCCCAACGAATCGAACCACCTTTCTCCATTAACGAAGCAAGCCGTCACTCTCAGAAAAGAAAAAAAGAAAAAAAGAAAAAGAAAAAGAAAAAGAACTGTACAAATCGTTTGCATCGAAATGTTAACGTGTAATATTAACATATCAAGATATTACGAGGAAATGTATCTTTCCATGGGTCACATACTAATATATTGATTCTTTTTTTGTTAAATAATTTAATTTTTTCTACAAGGTGACAAAGTGTAAACCGCTATTATACGACGTCTCCTTAGTAATCAACATTCTTGGTAACAATTAAGGGGATATTCTGGTAATCCGGCTTAAAGAAAAATCAATTTCTTTTTTTTACATTTTCTCAAAAGTATATGCTATCGAAAATGCCTATGTAAAAGGATTTGTTTGAATTCGTAAAATTGGCAATGTTATAGATGTTTAAAGGAAACGATGTTACTGCTCGCTGCGCAAGTGTGAATATTTTTGTACAAAACTTCAAATGTGTTTTTCTCAAAAAATATTTCACTTTATAATGTTATTATTTATATTATTATTTATTTTTATATTATTATTATTTTACAATATTTTATTTCTTGTACTGCTCGATTGATTGTAAGTATGAATATTTTTGTAACAACGGGTAACAGAAACTTCAAACGTGTTTTTCTCAAATCCATACTTTTTGAACTGGCTGACGGGATGTCTCGCGTTTTAGTTGACCGATTGACTTGAAATTTGGAGATCTTCGCCAGATGTACCTTTATCGCATGAACGGATTTCAAAATCTGACGTTTCTTTTCTATTTCTTCTTTTTTTTCCAAAAGACGAAAAACAAGGAAAATTGATATTTAAATTTCAAAATGCTGTCATTCTTTTAATTTTCGAAATTTCGCTATTTCCGTGATTCATTTTGATTCTTTAGTTTCAAATAACCAGGTGGGCCGGAATCACGTCAGCCATTCGCTTTCAAAAACACGCTTTATCTAAGACCATATAATTTCCACAACTTTCATTAATTTCGTTAAAAAAAAAAAAAAAATTGTAAATACTCTTGAAGTATGAATAAATCTGTGTGCAAATAAAACTGCATACCAAAACGTATCATGGTTTCCTTAGAAAATAATCCCGAAAAAAGTCGATTCTTTTCAAGCCGGATTACCAGAATGCCTCGTTAATTTAAAAAAATAAGCGACTCGTTATGTTTGATAAGGAGCGAAACTTACTTTTACAGTGCGAAAGTTTCGTCAAAACGACGTCTGTCGAACGTTGGCGTAAATAGCGCGAGTTCGCGACCGAGAAGAAAACCGAGCTTTTAAAAGATAAGTTTCTCGCGTTAACGAGAGTTTTCGTTGCCGTTAAAGAGGCGATCATGGTCACGTGCTTCAAGGTGATTTCGACAGTCTGGCACTCGACATCCTCCGGCTCGAAATTCCACGCCGTACTTGAAACAGTTGGCCATCGAAGAGGCCATTTTCGCTTTGTCTTTCGCTCCGCGTATTTTCAACTCTTTTTTTTTTTTTTTTAATTACAAAGTAAGCCTTAATGTGAAGCGACGCGTAATAACGACGGTGCTCCCTCCTCGCGAGTCGTCATTTTCAATTAAAATTTGTAGAATTTGTAGAATACGTTGGCAGAACTAACTCGGTGAATATTCGAGAGCATGCTTTTGTTTCAACACGTTGACCGCTACGATGATCACTGGCGACCGTCGTTTCCATTTCTGTTTCATATTTTAGAATAATTAAAGTGAGATGAATATTTTTGAATCTCTTGAATAACTGTTAAATTTCATAAATTGTTAACATCCATAACTGGGTGGTGTCATATAGTGGAAAATATTTTTTTTCGTTGCACTAACCGAGACTAACTTCAACCTAACTTAACAATATCAATGACACGTGATTAAGTAACAATCAACTTATTGTAGAAAAAATTTACTAAATTATTATACAAACAAATTATTGTACAAAACTTTGTGACATCTCATCAACGACGTAACGAGACGTAACGATTATCGTGATTGACGATTGCAGCGGCGAAGCTTACAAGTTTGCAAGACGTTAATACAAAGTTTAAATTTTCAATTTTCCCAAGACAAATTGAACCAACGTTGCAGCATTTAAACGAACTTCGATATTAGAGCATCGTTTCACTCGTCCTCGTTAACGTCACAATGAAGGAGCAACCGTGTGACAAAATTTCTACCACACTGAGAGCCCCGTGCGCGAAAAAGCAACGCGCTCCGCCGTTTCAAACAGACTGAGACAAAGCATCAAAGCGATTCGTTTCTTACCTTGCGTGTCCCGTTCCTTTTTCTTGCGGCGCAGCCTTCTCTTTTGCACTTTCTCCGTGTAATTAGACGACGAGGAATCGTCGCAGCCGGCCATTTCCTGTTTCTCCGCCATCTTCCTCGCCTCCTCCTGCCTCCTCTTCAGCAGCTCGTACACTCTGTTGAAGTAATCCCTGGCGATGTCCTCGTTCGACTTATTCGTCAACACGCCACCGTGTTGGCTCGTGCAGTCGAAACGATCGACAGACTCGCCATCGTGGTTCGAATCTTCGCTTCGCTCCTGCGTGTCTTCCTCCAACGAAGGTAGCTCCTCGCTACCGTCCACGATCTTAAACGTGTCGCTCTTCTTCACGTTCGACCGTGCGTACAGTTCCTTGTAATCGTTGAACGTCTTCTTGGGAATCGTGCTGTAACCGCAGTCCGGGGAATTCACGTTGGACGAGTCGTTGGTATCGTGACTGCTCTCTCGAACGTTCGCGGCGTCCTCGACGGGCTTCCTATCGACGACCAGGTAGTTCTCCTGTAAACTGGTGCTCGGTCTCTCGTTGACGGTGTCGTTCGAGGCACCGGAAGCGCACGAATCCTCCGAGTTCCGCTGGTTCGACGAAACGTTCACGCAATCCTGCAGATTCTGACAGACTCGGCAGTTGCCGGTGACGGAGCACAGAGCTGTCCGAAGATCCTTCCACCGCGGTTTGCTCATAAAGTCCTCCTCCTTCACCTCTCTGGCCGTTTCGGACTCGCGACGCAGCCTCTCGTGCTTCTTCCTCTCCTTGTACTCGCGCCAGGACTCGTCGACGGTGTCCTGGCTGCTGGCACGCCTCGGCGGGTTCTCCTGCTCCGAGTCCAGGCTGCCGGCCATCTGGCCCAGCAGCACGTCGCTCCTGGTTTTTCGGTAGAGCTTCCGTTTCTCCGCGGTGTCCCGCGTTTCGGCCCACGGCCGGCCACTGCGATTCGTCGCACTCGTTTCCGCGGCCTCGAGGATCGTCTCGCTCCTGGAACGGCGGCACGCTTTTTGCCCGAACGAATCCTTGGAACGCGACCTGCCGGCTCTCGGGCATCTCTCCCTCTCGACCTGCCTCCCGCCGCCGCTCCCTTTCTGCCTGTCCTTCTCAAGAATCTCCGGATCGAACCTGACGATGCTCGTCTCGCTGCGCACCTTTCGAGTACGATAACCTCGCGGATCCTCCGGCCGTCTGCAATCCGAGTACCTCTTCTGAATTCCGACGCCTTTCGGCCAAGCCGGTGAGACGTTGCACCGTTCCAGCTCCATCCTCTCTTGAATTTTCGTTCTCAAGAACGATCTCACCCTTTCCAGCTCGTCGTTCCCGATCCGCCTGCAATTTCCGACGTTCGCGTCGCCCGGAACCGGCTGGAAAGTTCCGTCGAGTGCGTCGCCTCTCGTTCTCCTCACGTTCTTCTCCCTGATCGCCTCCCTCAGACGAGTCAAACCGTCTTTGATCCTCTCGCTGCGAATCCGATCCTCGTCGTTCGTGTCGACGCTCGGTCTCGTGTTCCTGTCAGGCTCCTCTTCCTCCACGTGGACCAATCGCGGCAGCGTCTCGCTGCGACTCCTCAGGTAACACTTCACCTTCCTGCATCTCTCCCTCGCCAGTTCCTCGGGACTTCGTCGAGCGTCGTAGCACTCGTTCGTTAGATCGTCGATGATCTGCCGTCGCAGGTAATCCCCCACGGAGTATTTTCTTCCCGAGCTCGCCCTCTCCTCGCCTTCTCGCTCCGAGCCGCCGGAGGAATGCCTGTCCCGCCTCTTTTTTCTCTTCTCTTTCACCGTCACGTCGCTCTTCGACTTCCGCGGCTCGTAGCCAAACCGAACCGCGCCGAACTTCGTGCTGAACCCGTCCGCGTTCCTGTTGCCCGGGGCAGGAAGCACGACCGTCGAGGGCGTGGATGTGGACGAGAAGGACGCGGAGGCGGCGGCGGATGGACCACCGGTTGTTGGAAACTCCTCGCGCGTTCTCAGGCCCTCGCGAAACGAGCCTCTGGCCCGCTGCGCCGTCCGACCAGTCGTCTCGACTAGAAGCCGGCCGTCCTTGTCCAACAGCTGGATGACAGGAAGCGTGTCCGCGGACGTGGTCAGCTCCCACTCCCAGTGAAGCGGCTTGTCCAGCCTCAGTCTGATGATCGGTTCCGCCGGCTCGCTCGACGACGAAGAATCTCGATCGACCAGGCACGACGACGACGACGACGACGACGGCGCGGCTGTTACAAGCGGGTGAGCGTTCTTCATGTTTCCGGTTCTCGCGCGCTCCCGTGCACACGCTCCGAGAGAGACGCGGTTTTTCGTTCTTGCGCCCTCGAGTTCGATCACCTCCGCGGCCACCGTCCACTTTTCGGCTCCCCTCCCTTAACGATCCGGTTGCGATCTCGCTCTGCTCGCGATTCTGCCTCGTAACACACACCTTGTTTCGATAGTTTCTTTCCCTTTTTTTTTTTAGTGTAACCAAGAGGAAAATTATCGATCTTCGAGTCCCCTGTATCTCGATTTTTATTTCTCTGGATTAACCATCTTTTTGCCCATTTTTTTTTTTTTTTTTTTCGCGATATTTAATTTATTATTTCTTCGTAGTTTTAGTAGCTTTTTCTCAATTCTTGGGCAAATTTTATTCAACAAGGTAATAAAAAGCAGAGTCTATACGCAGATAATTTCTATAATCATAGGGTTCGTTTGTCTTTAGCTGCTTTAATCTCTTGCGCTGGAATTTTTTTGTCCCAATATTGTAATATTTTCTCAGTTTTAAGTATATCCAAGTATAACCCAGGTAAAACAAATAATAAATTTATTACTTCTCAATAATTTCTTACCGATGAGAAAAAGAAAAAGAAAGCGACGAATTATTGCATACGGTTTATATACGGTCACTCGTTATGGTCCGCAATCAGTTGCCAGCGCCGAGTGGTTATAAGACGACAATTATAATATCGATTTAGGTTTCGACTTTTGCGTTTTCGATTTTCCAAGACAGTAATTTTATCGATCAACGCGACTTTTGAATTTAGATTTTCGAGTATATTAGTTTTATCGATTAACGTGACTTTTGCATTCCGACTTTTTCAGATAGCAGTTTTGAATTTTGATTATCAGGAGAATAGTTTTATCGATCAACGTGATTTTCGCATTTCGATTTTCCAAGACAATGTTCTTGTCTTGGGAACAGCGTGACTTTTAAATTTAGATTCTCTAGAACAATAGTTTTCATCGAAAAACGTGACTTTTGCACTTCGATTTACCATCAAGACAATATTTCCATCAAATAGCGTGAATAACTTTTGAACTTTGATTCTCTGAGACAACAGTTTTATCGATCAACGCGACTTTTGCATTTCGATGTTCAGTCGTGACTTTTGTTTCGATTGCTTTACTGTTTCGCGAAGACGTTTCTGTTCTCTATTTCTATTTTACGGCGACACGGAGGGATCTGTACCGCTGCGGCCCGAAGCCGAGTATCAATATTGAGATATTCATTTAGATCGATATTTCCAGATTCCGCCAGAGTACGCAAATATTTGCGCTCTCGCATCGGAGGATATTTTCAAAACGAAACGGAGACGTTTTCGCAAAGGCGTATAAATGTTTTCGCTCCGGAATTCGAAACTTTGGGAATTGTTGCTTGTTCTTTCGAACGAGCAGCCGAAACACGGCACAGCAGTTTACGGTTCTTATAGAAACATTGTTCGCAAGATCAAACTTCCGTCCGGATCTCACTTTGTTCCTCACTTTACAATGTATTTATTTCGCTCTTCCGTTTAATTAAAAATTATTTTAACACTTGCACCTCGCTTCGTTCTTCTTCACTTCGCTTCTTCTTTTGTTAAAATATTATTTTAAAACGCGAGACTTCTCGCTGCCCGGCTCATAATCTTCTCGAAGACTATCTAAAAATCAGTTTGCAATAATTTCACAGTGATACTTGTTTATTTAATCAAAAATTATTTTCGACTTTCACATCGTTCTTCACTTTATTAAAATATTATTAATTTTTTCTCCTTTTATTAAAATACTATTTTTTCCGGCTCATAATCTTCTCGAAGATTATCTAAAAATCAGTTTCCAATAATTTCACGGTAATACTTGTTTATTCAATTAAAAATTATTTTAATATTTTTCGACTTTTACTCCACTTCACCTTTTATTAAAATACTGTTTTTTCCGTTCTTCGGCTCATAATCTTTTCGAGAATTATATAAAAATCAATTTGCAATAATTTCACGGTAATACTTGTTTATTCAATTAAAAATTATTTTAATACTTTTCGACTTTTACTCCACTTCACCTTTTATTAAAATACTATTTTTTCCGTTCTTCGGCTCATAATCTTTTCGAGAATTATCTAAAAATCAGTTTGCAATAATTTCACGGTAATACTTGTTTATTCAATTAAAAATTATTTTAATACTTTTCGACTTTTACTCCACTTCACCTTTTATTAAAATACTATTTTTTCCGTTCTTCGGCTCATAATCTTCTCGAGGATTATCTAAAAATCAGTTTGCAATAATTTCACGGCAATACTTGTTTATTCAATTAAAAATTATTTTAATACTTTTAATACCTTCACTTCACTTCACTTCACCATTTACTAAAATATTATTTTTTCTCGTTCTCTGGTTCATAATCTTCTCGAGGGTCATCTAGAAATCAAGCATAAGTTCATTTACAACTATTTTATATTCATCTAATTGTTAAAATTATTTTAACCATTTACAATTCTCACTTTGTTCTTCTCTCCACGCGCGAGGACCACAATTCTACTTCCGATCTGGAAAAAAAAATCGAACGTCGATCGGAAAAGAGAATATCTCCACGGCAAGGTGCTGTTTACTTCACTTCCACTCCGATATTAATCAACCGATACCGAACGTAGTGTATCAAGGATCGTGCGGTTCTACATTTTTCCTGCTTCCACGAGCAGCGTGATATCTGGGCTGATACGCGCATAAAACGCGATCGATGAATTATTGTTGGACGATGAATCGAATCGGGGGCCCGAGGCGCTTCACGTCGCTTACGTAACCGCGACCTCAGACGCTTGGCAGCTTGTCAGAGAATCGAGAGAGTTTGACTTCCTCCTTGATGTTTCCGAAACGGCTTCATACCGCACTCGCGTTCTCCCTTCCCGCCGTGTTTATTATTCACGTGTCCGCGAAAGAGGACGAAAAGTTGCCGAGAAACACGACTTATACGTTTCGAAAGGGGGTTGAACCGTGTAACAGGTCCCTCTGTACTTTCTAATAGGAAAACGCGATGGAAAAAGTGGCCTGTCCAGTGTTTCCAAGGACTATCGTCTTCTATTTTCGTGATACTAAATGTTAAACAAGGTTTTGGAATATTTCTGATTGGAAAATGTGACAGAGAAAGTAAATGAATGTTGAGAATTTCCAAAGACAACATTTTTATGCTGATAATGTTAAATGATACTTTACTCAATATTAAATAATACTTTGGTAATACTTTACTTAATATTAAATAATATTTCTAATAAGAAAATGTGACAAAGAAAGTAAATGAATGTTGAGAATTTCCAAAGACAACATTTTTATGCTGATAATGTTAAATGATACTTTACTCAATATTAAATAATACTTTGGTAATACTTTACTTAATATTAAATAATATTTCTAATAGGAAAATGTGACAGAGAAAGTAAATGAATGTTGAATATATATATTATAATTTTTAAAATTATTAATTAATTAATTAATTTTTTTAATTAAAATATAATAATAAATATTATTTCTGATGTTTGGTTAGATTTAATTATTGTAATATTTATTAATTGCAAATTAATTGTTTTTTTTTAAACTAAAATCCAAGTAATAATATAAATAAATTATATATAAATATTTTATCAAAATATATCTTTTTCAGACATATTACTATTTTTAAAAAATAATATATAATAAGTATATATATATATATTTATAAAATGATTATAAATTTATATATATATATATATACCTATATTAATATTATTAAATAATTTATATATATATAAATTATTTAATATAAATATATATATATATATATATATATATATATATATGAAGTAAATGAATTTCCAAAGACAACTTGTATTTTCATACTAATAACATTAAATAACACTTTAAAATACAATTTCGAATAGCGAGTGAACGTGGTCAGTCGCGAGTTTCCAAAGACCTGCCGACTTATATTTTTACTCTGATGACACCAGTGCATTTCATAGTCTGAATTCCTAAATAGAAGCCGAATTCACCAAATCCACAGTGAAACATTCTCAAATATCGATCCTATTCTAATCCACTCGGATTAACTTGAAATAATTCCCTCGACACCGTCTCACAGCCCCGATTGATTTTAAAAGGCAGCGCAGAATCGCGCCAACTCGTAATCTCGTTCGACTTGCAAAAAAAAAAAAGAAAAAAAGAAAAGTCAATTTGTTCGCCGAAACTCACGGCGCAACTTTCTAACGAGACTACCGCGGAAAGACAGACCGGCTGCTGGGTCGGCCTTCGCGTCGCGTAACATCATTCTAGAAACTCGCCGAGATCCCCTCCCCCCTCCCCGCGAGCATGATGTCACCGGGTAAAGTGAATCGAAGCGCAAGACGCGAGAGACGTTGAAATAGGTTTTGCAAGAAATGGCGGCCGGCGGCAGACGCCAAAGTACGCCGTGTTTACAAGCAGCCGGTTATAAATAATCACGCGTGAAATCGCGATGGGGATTTTTTCGGTTAGCGATCCCTCGATCTTCTCTCAAATGGCTGCTGCTACTTTCCGCCTCGCTTCCTCGTGCCCGCGCGTTTAACACGCCCACGTGGTTCCAGGAAAGGAGCCTGGCCTGCCGAAACGATCTGCAAATCGTTTGAATACGTTGCTCCGAGAAAATATAACGCGGTCGAGGGAACGTCGAAGGGGCGAGATCGACGAACGAAAAGGTCGAAATCGAATGATGAAAACCAGGTTGCCTCCTCTCTTACCAAATCGACTTGCCGATTGCGACACTCTGACAGGGCGAGCCGCGTCCCGATTCCCATCGGGAGCGTGCCTACACATCTCGAAATATCTCGCGAGAGATTCGCTCGCGCTCGTCGATTCTTGACAAACGGCCAACCGCGTTCAGGTGAACGTCACCGTTGCTGAAGCGGAACGAAGGCGACAGCGGTACCGAAGGTCGCGGGATTTCGAAGAAATCGCGAACGGTAGAACTCCACTTGGTTCGATTGGCTCGTGAGAGTGTTGTTGGAATGTTGTACTAACATTGTGCAAAAAGTTTCGTACGTATCATACTACAAAATGGTTGGTATGGCACGAAATGGTATCTGAAACAGTCGCGAAAAATTTGTATAAATGGGAAAAACAATTCGAGAATGAGAAGAGGAAGTATAAAGAAGCTGGGTATTTGCTGCAGGAGATGTAAAAAATTTTGTATATATGTATTATATTATGGTTATGGCACAAAGTTGTATCTCAAACATAAGTGAAGAAAAGAATATAAAGAAGCTGGACATTTATTGCAGAAAATTGATATTCAACTTGGTTAAAGATCCGATTGAATATTGTCACTCATATACCGATGTTAATCAGTTACATACACTAGAACTACCAAAATGGTCAAAATGACCATTTGAATATTTTTGTTAGATCTTCTATAAATGTAAAACAGTATATTTTTGGAGATTCTTTGCGAAACAAAAAATTTCTGTTTCTTTTAGTTTAACGTCAAAAGCGAACAAGTGGTCAACATGACAAATTTATAATTTTCTATATAAGTTTTATATATTTAGACAGTCGACTGACTTTTAATCAAATGTATTAACAGAAACCTATATTCTCCATTATTAACTTCTTATCGTGGCTTGCACTTTAATTTCTTTGCTATTATATTATACTTTCTTCTATTATATTAGAATTATATTATATAACTATATTGTATTTTCTTCTATTATATTAGAATTATATTGTATAATTATATTGTACTTTCTTCTATTACATTAGAATTATATTATATAATTATATTGTACTTTCTTCTATTACATTAGAATTATATTATATAATTATATTGTACTTTCTTCTATTACATTAGAATTATATTATATAATTATATTTTACTTTCTTCTATTATATTATTATATTATATTATATAATTATATTGTACTTTCTTCTATTATATTAGTATTATATTGTATAATTATGTTATACTTTCTTCTATTATATTAGAATTATATTATATAATTATATTGTACTTTCTTCTATTACATTAGAATTATATTATATAATTATATTTTACTGTCTTCTATTATATTATTATATGGTATTATATAATTATATTATACTTTTTTCTATTATATTAGAATTATATTATATAATTATATTGTACATTCTTCTATTATATTAGAATTATATTATATAATTATATTGTACACTCTTTTATTATATTAGAATTGTATTATATAATTATATTGTACTTTCTTCTATTATATCATTATATTATATTATATTATTATTTCTTCTATTATGTTCTATTATATTACTATATACTTTATATTATACTTTCTTTTTGCTGTTATATCATACTTTCCCATCGGTAGTCCTACCGTTAATATCCCGCAAGATCATCTCGATTGCAACTTTCCAGCTGCATATACCACGAAAACTTACACCGAGCCAATTGTTTCATCGTGCCAATTACAGCCCGTTCAGACTAATAATACAAATTCAATTGAAAGTGAAACAGCTAACTGTCCGCGCAAATTCTGGATACACCTACGTACGAAATTTTCCGAATACATCCGAGATATGTACAACCGTAAATAGAGATTTACGATGCGAAGGCGACCGCGAGATGGTAATTCGCGCGTGGAATCGAGCGCGTGAGGGTTGGATCGACGGATCGATGGATCGATGGTGTCTCGATGCGGAGACGTCGCGTGCGACTCGCGTACGAGCCAGCCGCGGATTCACTGAGGCGTCGGCGCGGCTGCGTTGCCGCCGCGGCCTGTAAACCCACGTCGCCGTCATACCGATCTTAAAATAAATCCCGCGGGATCCAATGGGCTAGGATGCGGGAATGCCAACACGTGGGATGTGTCACGAATATCGTTCGTTCGATCGCACGCCCCGCCGAGGCCAGGTATGCACGAAGAAACGTGCGCGCGAGCCTGGAATTTTCAAGCTGGATCGCGCGACTCGCTTCCCGCGCCGGCCACCGCTCATTTTTCTGCCCGAGGAATTCATCTTCCCTCGCGCGAGACACGAGAAAATATTTATGCTCGGTTATTTGGGAGCTGCAGTTGGGTTCAACATCACCTTTCTTTTTTTTTTCTCTCTCTCTCTTTTAATTTATTGGTTTGGAATTTACGAGCGAAAGGAGAACATTAACAAGTCAATCATTTTGCAGACTGTATTCAACAACTTCTTGCAACGTGAGATTCACCTTGTTTCAACGTCAAATTCAAATTCACCTCGTTCGCGAGTGACTTTTTATTTTTTTTTGGTAACTTACAATATCTTGGAATCTACAGACGAAAACTCCGCGAGAGTTGAGCTTTTCTTTTTAATTTGCCTTTTTTTCTTAGAATCTTCGTTTAATTTTTCTTTTAAATTCACCTTGGAAGTTTCTTCAGTTAACGAATGAAAGGAACTTGGAAATTTGAACTAAAAGCGAAACATTAAGTTAAAAATACAAACTTCTATTATTGAATAATATATTGTAAATAATTTAAATAATTTATATATATTCTTAATATATAATATATGTATACTAATATATATAATAATATAAACTGATATATATAATATAATATAATAATATAATATATAAATATAATATATATTTATAATATATATAATATATATATACATGTATGTGTATTATTAAATAATTTATATAAATACATTATTTAAATTAAATATATTTATATAAATATATTGGAAAAATCCAGTAATTTAATCCAAAAACATTCAAGATTCTGCAATAAGTGTGCAAACACTTCGTAATAGCGATCCTTTTCACATCAACCCACTTCGCGGGAATACGGTGGCCACGCGGTATGGAAATTCCATAGCGACGTTCTATCCAAAGTTTCTGCCAAAGTTCCCAACTGTTTCGCCCATCGCGAAACTTGACGCAGCCATTGAAAAGCTTGGCGCCGCGACGTTGCACCGTGCCCCTCCCATCCGAGGCGTTATGACACTGCTTGATAAATAGATAAAACTGGCTCCACGATCACGTTTGTGTGACGTTTGCTTACTTTCTATCAGTGATCAAGCGTAACGATATATGGAACACACGTGGAAATGGACGCACGTGTAAAACAAACAAGCGTGTCGTAATCATCCGCTCTAGAAAGCGACC